AACGACTCGGTACAGATTCTTCTTTTCATAACTCATAAAATCTTATGTTTAACGCATTTAAATAATAAACTTTTGATGTTTAGGTTGTAGATGCTCTATATGATTGCAAAAGTGAAGTGATTGGTCCTGGATCCTTCAGATTTAAAGCTGAAATAGGTGAGTTTCTTCAACTGTTCAAAGGATTGGATTGTTCCCTTGGTTTTGAAAATAAGAAGATAAAAGGCAAAGCCTTAGAGATGCAAGACAGTTTTCTTGAGTGATTCCATTGGGCCTTGTGTTAACTGCTATATGCAAACAGATTTCAATGGGCAGGTTGTTGTCCAAAACTATCTGAAGAGAACTAGGCGTGACGAGTGGTCAAAACTGGTAACTAAATTTGCAGCCTATTATCTCATATCCATCTTTCTTTAGCTGAAGATGAACAGTACCATCAGTTAAAATATGTGGTTAGTTACTTCAAAACTATCTGAAAAAGTGATGGTGTACTTGCTCAGTTTCGCGAGGCTGCAGAGAAAGGAGATGATTCTGCAATGCTCAATATTATGTCAAACTACGGTATGCATTGCACCAGTTCTCTTCTTGTGGATTTGTCATCAAGGTTGTATATTCCAAGCTGTGTAAGCATGTTGCAGGTGAGGAAGTTGTAACGGCTTTAGGAAGTGAAGTAATCCGGTTAGAGAAACAGATCCGAGAGCTTGTCCCTGGAATCCAGCACGTGGACATTGAAGCACACAATCCCAAAGACCAATCTCTATGATCTGAAAAAAAGAGTTGATGTTCTTCAAGGTCTGAGTTATGGATACCTCTCTTTTTGGCCTAAATAATGGAAACCACAGCCTGTCGCTCTTGGAGAAATAGAAAAGAGTTCATGGATTCTTCTCTATCTCGTTTCTGATATAAGTAGAAGACTTAAAAGTTTCATGACTTCGAAATGCTATGCAAAAAAAAAAAAAAAAAAAGAAAAGGGCTATGTTACGTGTAGAAACACTGAGTTGTGATTCTGATCGATATTATATTTTTTTCCTGTACACAATTATGGTTCTGGTACTTTGTGAACGCAACAAGAGAATGAATACCATTGTCTTCAAAGTTATAGAGAGGTTAATACAATGATTTACACAATGACATTAAAATGTAACGTTTTATAATCTTCTGGTGTCATAGAGTTGACTTTGAAAACAAAAAAAACTCTTAGTCTCTTTTGTTTTTAATGGCCATGGTTAATATAACTGCCAAGACATTTCTTCATTGAACTTTTCTTGGCAGAGCCAATAAATTATTGAAAGACTAGAAGCCCTCTGCTGAAGGTTGCCTCCAACTTAGTGTTATATATATATAGTAAAGCAATTGATGCATGACTTAGTTGAAAAGTCTTGACCTTCTCAGAGGTTTCATTACAAGTAGGGTGAAACCTTTTTTCTTAGGAATGTTGTTTCGTATATATATCTGTTACGAGATAACTGTAAAAGACTGATTCTAATGAGAGTAAAGGTATATTCCCAAAAGATCAAACGTATTACAGAGTTTGAGAGGTTCTTAAATTCTTAATGGAGTCACTCTCTCTTCCCCTACACTCACTGAGTATTCTATAAAAAAAACATTGATTAATTACAGTAACCACATTTTATAGCCATTTGATGTCATATCTATTGTGGAAACGCGTAAGTTGATATATACATTAGGAATTCTCAAAAACAGGATGTGGTGTTAAAAGGCGTTCTCTTCGACATCAGATCTTTTGGCTCGCTCTTTTACTTCTATCTCTTTTATTCATGTTATGCGTTTAGCTAATGTTTTTTTTTTGCTTAAATTTGGTGCATTAAATATAAAAGTGGCAAAAGCATACAATAGGATCCTATTACATCACTTTAGAAGTTCGATAATGAAATTTAAATGGGTTTACGAGCCCAAGTAGTATTAGGTGGCTTTGTGCCCAATAGCAAGACCTAATGGCCCAAGAGGAAGCCGTAGAGAGATCGTGAAGACGAGAGAACACGGGTAGTTTCAAGGGAGTGAAAGCCAGAGTTGCATGCAAGCGCTAGATTCCAAAGGCTGGGCTTGTCGCATTGCAGAGATGCGGTTCTTGATAATCGAAGAGATGGTGGAAAGGATAGCATCGATTGATTTGAAGCTTGCTCGATGGAGTCTGTTGTTGCGTTTTCTCCAAATTTCATGGATCGCCGTTTGCCATACCATAATGGTTAGATAACGCCGGTGATTGTTTCCAGTGAGGCCGGTAAGAGCTTGCAGGATATCATCCCAGTCATCCGTTGAAACGATGAAGCCTAACTTTGAGGACAGGTTCCTCCACACTCCAACAGAGAACGAACACTGAAAGTAGATATGATTTCGACTTTCAGGATGGAGATTACATAAGAGACACAGTGGGTCCGTTTGCAGCCCCCAGGAGAGAAGTCTATCTCGAGTTGGGCAACGGTCTAAAACAAACATCCAGGTTAGAGTTTTGAACTTTGGGATTCCTTTCTTAAGCCACACAACTCTGTGCCAAGGCACCTGCGGCTTTGAATCTCTAATGCTGTCGTATATTTGAGCAGATATAAATTTGTTTGTGTTTGCAGATGAAGCGCTGTTTTGAATCCATTCCGGGTAATCAGACTCCTCAGAGAGAGTGATCGTTGACAAATAAATCTGCACCTGCTCCATTTCTGGGGATCTAGCAGGAGCTAGAGTCCACGATTCTCCATTCCACAAAGAAGCCAAAGATGATGATAAAGAGATACCTGATTGCCTAGGCCCGTTCGGCCCCACAAGCCTGATCAGTTGACCATACGGGGTCCAAGGAGTAGTCCAAAACCGTATCGAATTCCCATCAACAGGTATTACTCTCATCCAGTTGATCACAGTTTCTCTCTGTCTTAGTATTTGTTTGAAGAGCCATGTCTGACTTTGGCTTTCTTTCATTGACCAGAAATCCTTGTCTTTGATGACATTCTGATGAATCCAGGCGACCCAAACAGACTCGGTTCTGAAGAACAACATCCACAACAATTTAATGATGCACGTTCTGTTCCAATAAGCAATGTTGCGGAGACCTAATCCACCTTCTTCCTTAGGAGTAGTCACTTTATCCCAAGAAACCCTAGCAGTAAATTTTCCTTCCAAGCTACCTTTCCATAAAAATGCTGAACACATTGAATTGATTTGATTGATGCACTCCACAGGTAAAATAAAGGCGGCACACCAGAAGTTAATAATGCCCGAGATGACAGAGCTTAAGAGCTGGAGCCTGCCTGCAAACGAGAGGTACTTTGTTGTCCAAGAGGTCAACTTTGATTTTATCTTCTGAAGAGGCCACCAGCTAATGTTGAAGCTGACTTTATTGCTGAAGCAGCACTATCTGCAATCTCTGTTACTGCATCTTTGTAGACTGTTTCGAAGTTTTCTTATAAAGTATGGTTTGCTCAAAAAAAAAAAAAAAAAAGTTGACATTGTGTTTGAGTTGACTTTGAAAAAGCTCTTTCGTCTCTTTTGCGTTTAGGTGGCCATGGTGCTTCTAAGAAAGAAAGAAACCAGTTTGCATCCTAGGCGATGACGGAAGTGACTGGCCTGAGGTGTCTCGTTTCTAAGTTCATTTGCTGTGTGTTTTGAATACACGAGGAGATCGATCAAACGTTTATGTATCCAGACTCCAGTAGTTCTTTAGTTTCTTTGTAACCATTTTTACCCAACTTTTCTGTGCAGACGATGATGATTCGATTGAATACGAGCCATATGTGTACATTCCAGCGAATAGTTACACCTATTCGGGGGTTAAGAAGATTACGAACAACTTCAATAGTGTTCATGGCAAAGAAGAGTTTGGTGTAGTTTATCATGGAGTTGTAAATAAAACAGCAAGTAGCCGTGAAAATGCTAAACCTAGCATCTATCTATAACGTTGAACAGTTTACCAAAGAGGTAAAAGTTTGTTCTTCTAGAACAAGACCAAACATGAGCCAGGTTGTTATGGAGCTCAACGAGTGTCTGGCCTTAGAGATTGGCTCGTCCTCCTTGAAGAACTGGGGAGACAACACAAGAGACTCAGTGATCGACATGACCATGAGATATTCTCACCATTTCATCTCTTCGCTCATCCTAATATTTATGTTCTTGCAAAATCTCATCTTCATATTTGTGTCTGGATCTCTTATTTTCTCTTGTCTTTGCTACTTTTCTCTCTGAATTTGCGTTTTCCAACTTTACAGTTATTAGTATTCAGCAATGTTTGACAACAACAACAAACAATGTCTGGTCGTATCCTCCATGTTCCTCCTTACACTCTACCATCGTTGCCAAATGACTAGAAGAGAAAGCTATGAGCCAATAGATTCAAACTGTAACTTACAAAAGTTTTTCTTTCCTAAACAAGACAACCCCAATGATATTACTTAAAACTAAAATTCGAATCGGTATAGAGCTAAACAACAGGAAACCCCCTCAGTAACTAGATGGCTTACACTTGGTGAGCTAGACACTTTCATGGATTCCCTTTGTAAATTACGCCAGATAATTTCAGCAAAAGCATGAATACGCCAAGTGGTTCTTCTTTGAGATGTAGGGAGAAATGTAATCAGTGGAAAGACCAGATGGTCTTGAGATCTCGGCTGGAACCAGGACTTGAGGCTTGCCTAATGCTATCCTTTTCCCAACTGTATTAGCGTAAAACAGACCAGGAATGGCTGGCACAAACACATCACTCCTTGAACTTATGTAGAAGTCAATAACATTTTCATACTCCGAATTTTCTAACTCAAGATACTTTGGTTTCTTGTCTGCTGGCATTATCGCCTCCTGCCATATACAATCAAGATCAGCAAAGGGTAAGAACTTCAGAGACTAGAAGAATGAATGATCTCGCATACACACCTTAGTAAACGTTTTTGGGAAGATGTCCTTAAGAATATTGAGGCTACTCTCCCATCTTGGCTGAGTTAGATATATAGTTGTATCACTGTCGAATCCAAGCTTCCGCAAGAACAATGCGATCTCTTGTGCGTTGTAACAAGTTTTGGATCCCACTGCACCTGTTTCATGGCAATTTTTCTTTTCAAGTATCTCAACTCTCAAGTCTATGGCTATGAAACGGCCACCGGATATCTTGCTATGTGTCTTTAACCGCTGAATCATCGACTCTACCAAGTCATTGACTCCTGGTTGCAACTCCAAGGAACCAAACATTGCCAAACAAGAAACAGGATCGGTCTCAGCATCCAGCGAAGTTTTCCTCAAGTTCACAGAAGGGAAGTAGGTTGTAACTCTAATGTTCCCTTTTGATTTGAAGATGGGATCAATATGTTCCTTGATGTAGTCTTCTGCAACTCGAGTGGGGACCTTGACAATGGCGATATCTCTTAGAGACACGTGGCTAGGCAGTTTTTTCACGACCTTGACGACGCTGTCCAGGCTTTTAACGAGTTTATCTACATCATAGATATCTTCAAAGTTCCTGGCCGAGCATTAAAACTTGTTCATAAGCCTCAGAGAAACATTTTGAAACCAAAACGTTTATTGAGAAAAAAACCACTAACATTTCATCACCAGGTTTGCTTCCTCTTATGTCGGGAAGCACAAGAGTTGCTCCAAGATGCTTCGCCACCATTACAGCATCAGTAATCTAAACACAACCAAAAAAAAAAAAAAAAAGACATGAGAGGAAAGAAGAGAACATCTGTTTATAGTTTGACATGAAGATTACCTGGGAGATATGGTATTCAGGACCATTCGTTAAGGAAAATGTAACATAACCCTTAGAGGATA